TATATTATCAAAATATCTGTTTTATTGATTTTATGTTGAATAAATCATAGAATAATTCAATATTTACAATGTTAAATATTAATTCTTTATTCTGAACTGTTACTGTCTATTTATCATATTAAATGAATCTGATGAACTAAATATCAATATTATTGTTCATTTGATTTTAAAAAATAATAAATGAATATGAAATAATGAAATAAAATAATGAAATAAAATAATGAAATGATAATGAAATAGAATAATCTAATATTGAACAAATTAAATAAAGAATATATTGAATATATCATTATTGTTACATTATTATTTGTTATTTCAATTATTAAATATTAATAAATTATTATTCATGAATATTTAATTGATATTTTACAATTTCATTTTCATTTTATTTAATAAATGAAATATAAATAATAAATGAGTGATGGAATATATGAAATAATAAAAAGAAAAGAAAGATAAATAATAAAGAAATATGATGTATTTAATATATAATATAATTTATTATCAAATATAATAATAATATCAAATGATGATTTATTTTTATTTCAAAATATTTTGCATCAATAAAATATGTTGCTAAATATTTTGCATCATTAATTTTTGCATCATTAAATTTTGCGCTTTTTTTATTTGTTTCAATAAAATTTGCATCCTTTATTTTTTCATTCTTTTCTTCTTTTATCATCTCTTTTGTTTTATTACACTTTATCTTCTTTCTTTTTATCTTCTCTCCGTTCTACTTTTATTCTTTCTTCATCATATCAAACTTCTTACTTTCTTTTTATTCTTTTATATCATTCATTCTCTTCTTTTTCAATTATTTGCTTTTTTTTTCGTTGCCCCACTCATTTATTATGTATTATATGAAATAACACGATATTGAAAATAGTATTAGGAGATAAATACATCTTGTTGAAACACGTTTAAATGATTCTCATTTTCATAAACATTTAAATAATTTAATACTCAAAATAAACATAAAATGAAATAATAACCTATTATAAATATGTTTCATTACTATGAACTACTGTATTAAATGAATGCCATTACTAAATCATAAACAAAATTATATTAAGTTATTCAAACTGATTATTTTATTGTGTATTTTACTTATAATTATTACCTGATACTTACAATATTAGTAATAACAGTTAATATTTGAGTTTCCATTTTTATAATTATTCAAGAACGAGTTTGTTTCATTTTAATAAACTATAAAAACTCTTAATTTGTTTATTCAAACAAAGAATATTAAAAGTCTATTTCTTGCTTTTCAAATTGTGAAATGTACTCTGTAATGTTTCAATTTTAAACAATATTCATTTTAACTCGATATAATTTATCTCCATTTTGTATTATTTATGTACATATCGAATTTTTAAGAATGTTTGTTATAAAATAAACATTTTAGTCATTTAATTAGTAAAATTACTACTTCTTATTAGTCTTATACAATAGAGATAAATCCCAATGATCCACTACATCTATACACAAATTATTAAATTATTTTAATAAAAGAATAACTATAAATCATTGTATATTGTTATTTATTATTTACTTTTCAATCATTTCATTTAAACAACATTGTTATCACTAAACATATTAAAAGTTTCAAATAAAAATAATATTTATAACTTTTAAATAATATCATTTGTTTATACCTTTTCAATTCTATTTTACTAATAGCTTAACTTTCTTTTCAGATTTAATCTATCAATGATATTATGTCTAACAATGTATAAGATATTAGAATATTTACTCATTAAAAATAAATGACTGTTATATTAAATTAGTAATAAAAGTGTCATGACTCTACTTCATTGTTTATTCTCTTCTATCATATTATTTTATGCATTGTATAAATTAAAATTGCATAACCATTTAAATAAACATTGTGTTATCAAATTTTTAAGAATAAATAAATATTTCAATAGAGTCAAAATTCAACTGTTTTTGTCTTAAATTTAGAAATAACAAATTAAAAATCAAATTATTTCAAAACATATGTTTATTTCTCAATAACTCATACTACCTTTAATTCCTGATGGTACTAATGAATTTATATAAGTGAAATATGTATGGTACTATTTTCAAATTCAAATGTTTGGAAAAAAAAACACAAAAAGAATATATCAAAATACATTCTTTCTCTATTTTATTACTAAAAAAAAACAAATGAATAAAAGTATTGTAAACTAAAAGTAGATAGAAAGTATGTTTCAATAATAAAGTTGTTTTGTTATAAAAGTGTAATACCTATTATTATAACGTCACACTAAAAGAAGAGATATGAGTTAATTTTGTTTTTAATATCAAACCACAGATTTAATTCTAATCAGAAACAATATATAAAATTACCATTGATAGTTACAACTATTAAACCATTCAAGAAAAGACTCAATTTATAATTTTAATAAGACTCTATTATTCATGGTATTAATCTTAATGGACTAGTAGTAAATTAAAGAATAAGAGTTTTATAATTTGAAAATGAAAAAAAAACCATTATTAAATAGCCACATAATTACTGAATCTGACTTTAAAAAATAATGAGTTAAAAAAAAGAAGATAAATCAGAATGATAATAATGAGAAAATGCAAATAAATAAAGCAATTAATTAAGTGTTAATAGAACTAGATTTTATTGTTCGAAAATGAAAATAAAGAAATAAAAAAAAAATTAACAGAAACAGGAAATAAATGAAGAAAAAGAAATTAGAATAAACATAAAAACCAATTAATTATAATCTAAATGAGTTTTACAACTTGAACATAGATGATTCTCTCTTCCTAAACGTTTTAAACATAATAAATGATAAAATGTTTGACAAGTACTATTTGGACAAAACGTTCCTATTGTTCCAGGTAAATTACAAATTTCACAATGAGGTAATTGTAATTCAGATGCTTCTTCTGAAACTAAATAACAAGGTCCAAAGGTAAGTATTCCTGAAATTTCATTAAGATAATTAAGTTCGATTAAGATATTACAAACTGAATCATATTCATCATCTAATGAATTTCTTTGTATTTTATAATTATTATTTATTAATAATTCTATTAATTCATTTACTTTTTTTAAATCATTTTGATCAAATATACATGCAACTTGATTTATTTCATCAAGATTTGTTGTTATTAATACATAAACATAATCCCCAGTGTTTTGATTAATAGATCTACGTATTTCCATATGTAATGCTTGAAATGATTGATTAAGTTCTCTTATAATTGAAGAAATTGAAAGAGAAGTAAAGTGAGTTTGAATTAATTGGGTTAAATCATCTTCTTTAACTACTCTTTTAATAATAAATAATCTACTGAAAAATTGAATATAATTAGTTATTACTGTATTTTGTTGTGCTTCTGTTTGTTTATTAGTGAGCTGAGTTTCTATGGAATTTTCAGATATTGAGGACATGAAACACTGAAAAGAAAAAGTTGATTAAAATAAGATTTTGTAGTTTTGTTAAATAAATGAAATGAAAAGAAAGGTTATAAAAAAAGAAAAAAAAAAGACAAAAAAGAACTTAAAATTCATTGAACAAGAAATAAGAAAATGGAATTAGCAAGAACAACACTTAGAGGACTTCATAATTTTATTCAAGAAATTCATAGATCACAAAATCCAGAAGAAGAAAGAAAATCAGTTGATAAAGAATTAGCTCATATTCGAATGGAATTTAAGACAGGAAAAAAATTAAAAGGACATGGAAGAAGAAAGTATATATTAAAAATGTTATATATTTATATATTAGGATATGATGTTGACTTTGGAATTCCTATTATTACTGAATTATTAACATCACCCAAATTTTCAGATAAACAAGTAGGATATTTAGCTATTAGTATATTATTATATGAAGAACATGAAGCTACTAGATTAGTTATTAATACATTAAGAGCAGAATTAATTGATTCTAATCCATTAAATCAATGTTGTGCATTTAATGTAATATCATGTATTGGGAATAAAGAAATGGTAGAAACATTAGGACCAGATATTTTAAATATTTTATTTAGTAATACAATTCCTACAGTAGTTAGAAAAAAAGCAGCATTAACATTAAAACATCTTTATTTAAAAAATCCAACAATTATTCAATTAGATACCGAATTTCATGATAAATTATTAAAACTTTTAAATAATCCAGATTTATGTCTTGTATCATGTGCAGTAATGGTATTATTAGTTATTGTAGAAAAAGATCCAACTCCATGGGAAGATGCAACAAGTAAATTATTAAATATATTATCTAAATTAATGAATAAAGATTATTCAAGTGAATATAATTATCATTCAGTACCATCTCCATGGCTTCAAGTTCGTATTTTAAGAACATTACGATATATTACACCAAAGAAAGGAGCTGAAGAAAATTATCTTTCAGATTGTGTTAAATCATTAATAGATACATGTGATGCAAAATTAAGTGAAAATACAAGAAATGCAATGTTCTCTATATTATTTGAAATTATAGAACTTGCACCATTTGTTGAATTTCCAGAAAATACTAAATCTAAAATTGTTAATATGCTTGGAACTTATTTAAATGCTACTGAAACAAATTTAAGATATTTAGCATTAGATGCAATGTGTTCAATGTGTGCTGTTGGATGTGATAAAGAAGTACAAAAATATCTTTCAAGAATGATTGATTCATTAAGAGAAATTGATATTTCAGTAAAAAGAAGAGCACTTCAAGTATTATTTGATGTATGTGATAATGATTGTTGTAATAAAATTTTAACCGAATTATTAAGATTCCTTCCTGTTTCAGATTTAGCTATTAGAGAAGAAGTTATTGTTAAAATTTGTTTAATTGCTGAGAAATTTGCTAAAACACCACAATGGTATGTTGATATTATGTTACAATTAACTGCTGTTTCTGGTGATTATATTGGAGATCAAATTTTAAATAGAATTCTTCGTATTATTATTAATAATGATAGTGTTCAAGTATTTGCTGCTAAAGCTACTTATAAATATCTTCAAGAAGTTGCTTGGAAAGATGCATTTATTAAAATTTCAAGTTATATTTTAGGTGAATATGGAAGTCTTGTTGTTAAAGATAATATGAAAATTGCACAAAATATTTTTGATATGTTAAAAGATAAATATCCATTAGTTAGTTATCAAACACAATTAACTATGTTATCTGCATTTGCTAAATTACATGCTACTTTCCCTTGTTTAAGAGATCAAATTAAATCTTTATTTATTAAATATTCTTCATCAAGTGATGCTGAAATCTCTGATAGATGTCAAGACTATTTGTTTATGACTTCTATTGAAGAATTAGAACCTATTGTATTTGAAGCTATTCCACCTTGGGAAGGTGCTCAAGAAGGTGAAGATGGAAAAATTGTTGATGGAGAAGTTACAGTAACTGAAAATAGTGCTGACGTTGTTTCTAGAAATACAAAAGAAACAAATAGAGATGATGATCTCTTTATGTTACTTGGTGTTGTTGATCCAAATAAAAAAGAAGAAGTCCAAAAGAACAATGATTTATTTAATATTTTAACTACTCCAGTTTCTTCTAACCAACAACCAACTTCTTCTCCATTAAATCAACCAACTCAACAACAACCTTCTAATCAATCTAATGATGTATTTGATTTTGGTGGATCTGATATGAATCAAATACAACAACAACCTAAAGAAGAAGAAGTAAATATTAAACCAAGTGAAAATACTGAAAAATATGATGGATGTATTTGTCATAACATTAAAGAACAAATGGAAAATGTTATGATAAATAATCATAATAAATTAATTTTAGCATTTGAAGGAGTATTATATCAAGATGATACTATTCAAATTGGGCTTAAAAGTGCATTAGAATCACCAATGTGTAAATTTGCATTATTCTTTGGAAATAGAATTACAGAAGAAGTTGAATTAAATTATATCATTGAATGTCCAAACGGACTAACATGTAATTCTGGTGAGTATAATGGAAAAATTGGAGCTAAAAGTCAGATTCAATCTATTGCTCAATTTACAATCTCTGGATTTTATTATCAATCTCCAATCATTAATATCACTTATAAATCAAGTTCATTCAAAAATAAAATTGCATTCTCACTCCCATTAACTGTTAATGCATTCCTTGTTCAAGAACCATTAGAACCAAATATCTTTATGCAATATTGGAACACTATTGGTAATGCTACTGAAAAGAAAAGCATTATTCAAATGAAACAAAATAACCCTATTGACTTACCAACTGTTCTTGGTGGAATGAGATTTATTTGTTTGGATGTAAAACCAGAACAAATTGTGGCTTGCTCTTCATTCCCTTCTTTCCAAAATATTTATGTCTTATTGAGAATTGAAATTAATGTTACTTCAAACAAAGCATGCATTTATGTCAGAGCTCAAGACCCTTCTCTTGCCAAAGTGATTCATAATTTATTGTGCTACGAAATTGCTGCTTAAAAAGACATAGAATTGGATTTTTTTTTCATTTCTACACCATTCTTATTATTTTTATTACAAACAAAACAATAACTTGAAAAATTTTTTCTTTTCCATTTTATTTAATCAAAATAAAATCATACTTTCATGATTGTAATATAAATTAAGATGTGTATTATTTAATATATATAATATACTATTAACTACTGTTAGTGGGATATTAAAATAAATTAAACATTGTTTAATTCATTGTTTATTAATACTATCATATGCTTTGGAGACGTCATAATATGTTTCTACCAACTTCCATTTATTCTTTAATAATAATTGTTGGATTATAATGTTGTATAATAATCCTTCTTTTGATGAATATGTATATTTCTTACATCCAATTTGATTTAATGATAGTTGTTTTATTTCAATTTGATTTAACATCAATTGATATTCTATTTTCAACTTTAATATTGATGGATATACTTTTAACAGACAAATTAGGCAAGTTATTTGTCTGTAATTTTGATTGTCTAGTTTATCTCCTTTCATATATATTAATATTGTTCTTCCTTGAATAAAATGAAGAGGTATTTCATTAGGATTGTTTAACCATTCATTAAATAATTTTAATAAATACTTCTTTGGTTGTTCTAATTATTTAATCCAAAATCCTTTTATTTTATCATTTTCATTTCATTTTCCAGTTAGCAATAAATTTAATAGCACAATCTAGTTCATTTGGAGTGATTATAGACATTCTATCATTAATTCTATTTTCAATTAATATTTCATATAAATTAATATTTAGATAAAATCTATATTAGTGATAGTTTCATAGATTCATTTCCAGAAATTAATAGTGGAGATATTATCTGGATATTCATCTTCTTTAGATTTATTTAAATGTTGCCTTTTCCATATTTCATCATTTTATAATTCCATCTTATTCTTTTCAAATTATTCTTTCTTGCTTCTATCTCTATTCTTTTCATCTTTCGGAGGTATTTATAATATTTTATTTGTTCATTTGGTTTTAATTTAATATGATATATATCATATTTCTTAATATGTAATATTCTTTTTAATTTCATATATTGTTTATTATTAAGTAAATCTCTTAATCTACATATTTTTGATTGTAATATTCTTTCTATACTTCTCTTTCCACTTCTTTCTTGTTTGTTTTTATTAATTATGTTAATAGTGGAAGATACTGATTTATTAAAGTAGTAGGAATCATCTAGTGTATTGATTATTATTTCATTTTTGTTAATAATATTAATTATTTGATGTACTTTCTTCTTATTGTAATAATAGTTAATAAATTGTACATCTTCTTGTTCTTTCTTTTCTTCTTCTTTAATTATTTTCATTACTTCATCTTCTTCTATTTCTTCTTTCTTGTTCATTCTAGTTATTATTTCTTTTAATTCTTTATCTTTCCATTGATGTTTTATTATTTCTTCCTCCATTATTCTATTGATTTCTCTTTTATTTTCATTCTTTATTTTAAATGTCTTCTTTATTATTTCTTTATATTCATTAATATCATTTACTTTAATTCCAAATTCATGTATTAGTCTTTCTATTATTTCTTCTTTAAGTTGACATCTTAATTTTCTTTCAAATAATTTCAAAACAAAACATTTATAAACTGTTAGAATTTCTTCTTTTCTATCTGTTTGCTTCCCCCGTTTTTTTGCTTGTCTAATTCAAATGTGGTGATCTTCTTATGCTGAATATCCATTTCTTCAATTAATTTCTGCGTTAACTTTCTTTTTTGGAAGATCATCTTCACTTGATGATATTTCATCAGCTACTACTAACATATTGGGGGAGAGGTTATTCACTATTTGTGTTTCAGATGAGTCTGTTATATTGTAAGTTACATCATCTTTCTTCTTTTCTTCCTTTGTATTTTTATTTTCTAATTTAGATACTTTATCTTTCAGGAAGAGTAATTGTTGTGTTAAATTGTTTACTTCAGACCTCTTTCTTTCAGA